GATGTAGATTGTTATATAATAATAGGATATAATGAATGGTGACAGAAGTAGCCTGACCCCCAAGACAAATGTGTCCAGTTCCCGGACTGATGCTGAGAAGCACACCATACAGCTCAGGACAGGAGGCATCCACCGTTGTGCTCCCCCAATCCTGAGCCCATTCTGGTTCCTGATGTAAACCTTAAGGCTTCTCTAATTTATGCTGGTTGAAAAAAAACATTCCAGGGATGAGCCAGGTATACAGGAGCCACAGCCACACCCTCTATGCTAGGTTTCAGAGTAGCAGCCATGTTAGTCTGTATCCGCAAAAGGAAAAGGAGGACTTGTGGCACCTTAGAGACTAACCAATTTATTTGAGCATAAGCTTTCGTGGGCTACAGCTCACTTCATGCTAGCAAGTAGGAGAGAAGTGTCACAACCAGCACTGTGGCAGTTCTTCACTGACTAAGAATTACCCTGTGCAGGATTAATCCTCCAGGGGTTGGCTTTAAGGCAGCTTTGCACCAGCAAAGTGGCACAAAACTTCCCTAAGGTAGCAGAGATATCAGTCCAAAACATTATCATGTGTTAAGTGCCGACAATGTGCTTGGCCCTACGTGGCCCAAAACGAAGTCAGTCTCTATGCAACTTACAGCACCAATCTCAGACAATGCCCCTACCTAGACGCATACTGATCCACTTCAAAACATGTTGCATGTGAAAAAGACAAGTTCTAAAAAAAGAAGAGTTCACCCACATCAAGCTGCGATCTTTAGAAAGCCAGAAGCATTAGAAAAGGGTTAACCACACAAATAGTCAAATGAAACAAGACAAAATTAAGGCTAATTTGGGCCTTCTCTCTACAGCTCAAAGCACTCATGAACTGCTGCCGTCTTTGAATTGCTCCACTGAGTGAAATTGGAACTGGACCCTGGATGTTGGGACATCAGCAATCAGCTTTTTCATCCTGACTCCTGACACTTCCTGGTAGGACGCTCCAGGACCTCCACTGACACAGCACCAGACCACAGTCTGTTTGAAGATTTCTCTTTGAAGGTTATGTCTCATTGAAGTCTACTCACTTCTTAGTCCACTTGATATCATAGGAGCCGTAGGCACCGACTCTGTGGGTGCTCTGGGGCTGGAGCACCCACAAGGAAACTTGCTCTGCACCCACTGGCAGCCAAGCTCTCCTCCCACCCCCGCCCCACTCCTTCTCCTCCCCCTGAGCCTATTCTACCTCCTCCCTCCTCCCCCTATTCCAACCCCTTCCCCAAATCCCCAACCTTGCCTCTTCCCCTCCCCCACGTGAGTGCACCATGTCCCCGCTCCTCCGCCTACCTCCCAGCACTTCCCCTTGGCCTGCTGGGAGGGAGAGGGAGGAGCGGGGATGTGGTGCGCTCAGGGGAGGAGACGGGAAAGAGGCGGGGCTGGGGCAGGGATTTGGGGAAGGGGTTGGAATAGGGGCAGGGAAGGGGAGGAGTTGGGGTGGGGTTTTGGAGAAGGGGTTGGAATAGGGGCAGGGAAGGGGAGGAGTTGGGGTGGGGTTTTGGAGAAGGGGTTGGAATAGGGGCAGGGAAGGGGAGGAGTTGGGGCGGGGACTTTGGGGAAGGGGTTGGAATGGGTGCGGGGCAGGGGTGGGAAGGGGCAGGGCAGAGGCAGGGCCACATGGAAGGGGTGGAGTGGGGGCGGGGCCAAGGGCAGACTGGGTGGGGTCGAGCACCTAGGGGAAAGCAGGGAAGTCGGCGCCTATGATAGGAGCATAAATTATAGGGGATGCTAATTACTGCCTTTCTGCCCCATTCATAAGTTCAGAAGCAGTTTTCCCTCAGGACTTACAGACATTAAAAAATTACACAAAATTATTGCTAGTGTTTTCATTTGCACAGGTTATTGAATTTGTAAATGCTAGTTGCATCAAGGTAACTTTAATAATCTCGCCTGTAACAAGTGGCTTTAGAAGCCTCATTTGCTTGGCTTAGTTATAGAAGTTCCACCTCCTCATTAAACCCTGCCCCAACCAACATTAGGCATCAAGAACAACACATGGATGCGGGGGAATGAGGTCTGGCAGAGGTCTTGATTTACACGATAGCATCATCCTTTTTATTATTATTAATAATAGACGTGTATATATAGCATGTTACCGTTATAAAACAGCTTTACTGACATTAGTCCTCAAAACATCCCTGTGAGATGGTTAGGTATTATTATCCCCATGTTATTAATGGGTAAACAAAGTTAGAGGAGTCAAATGACTTACCCAAATATGCAGAATGAATCCATATTAGAACTGAAATGACAACAAAGGAATTCTTGGATTCTGAGCACAGAGCATTACACTGAGCTTCTCCTAAAGAAGCTACCTATTGCTCTACCATATCCTCCTATTAGCTCTGACCAGCAGTTCTCTTTAAGATATCACAGATTACATTTAGGCCACATGATTTAGATAAAGAGAGGCTATAAATTATACAGTGCAAACTATCAAATCACCGCATTATGCAGTGAAATAAGTCACATACTACTTTACTTCAGTGCTAAATATTTGCTTCCAGACTACTGACTGGCAAATGAATAGATTTCTATGTTTCAAATGCTCTTCCTCTATTTCTCTCCCAGAATGAGAGAGTTTATTTTATAGGATCATCCTAGAGTGATGAACATTGCTCACTGACAGGACTTTCCTAAGCACACTGTTTACTCAGCTGTCTGCAAAAAGGCCTATTATGCATAATTTGGTGGAACTTTACAGCAAGTTTTCCTTTGGATTACACAACTAATTTTTCCAAAAAGGTTTTCATTTGTTTGTTCATTCAGGAAAAGCATCATTGTTTACTTGAAACAAATATGATGATTAAGTGAGATGGAGGAGTTCTGTTGAAACAGAGTAGCATCTACATGTACAGGGCAAAATATTACTCTAAAACCACCAGATCTGGACTCCTTCTTGCCAATTATCTTAAAGTCAGAATATCTAAATTAAAAATAAATGCTATTGTCAATAACAGAATTATAAACACTCTTACTAACAATAATGATATTTACCAAGTATCATAAAGATAAAATCCCATCCTTGAGCATGGAGCAATGTTACATTTCTTAAAGCAATCCCGTAATGTCAGCCAGACAACAACTATAAACACTTTTACATTAGCTGAAATAACTGAGGTTAATGTATTTAATATGAAAATTAGAAAAAGCACGAGTATGCTACAGTCACATCTTGCGTTTGTCAAATTTAGTGAAGAAGTTAACCAGATTCTCAACCACTTTATTAAATTATATTTTTAGAATTCTCAAATGCATATATGAGTATACAAGGTCATATTTCTGATGGTCTCACTTCAGTTCCCAGTGGTCAAGTGTCCACATTACAAAAAATGCAACTACATTTGGCACCCCTTCTTGATGATCTGAATTGTCTTTGGAGGTTGAAATACCTTTTCATTGGTAGAGGTTGCTCTCACTCTTACTGCTTGTGATATACTCTTTTTGTGGATAAACTCCACATGATTCCACACAAAACTGCCAAAGGCAGAAGAACTCCTTTATAACCATTAGTCTAATAGTTAGGGTACTCAACTGGGATGCGGGAGACCCCCACCTCCAGTAATCCATCTGCCCAATTAGAAAGGATTTGAACAGGAATCTGCCACCTTGCAGGTGAGTGCCCCCCCTTTATACTGGTTGTTCCAATTATAAATACATGCTAATCATCAGTAATTATGTCATCAAGAACTTGCCAGGTGCAGGCAGATGACCTGGTGGAATGATTTAATATGACACTGAAACCATTGCTGGGAAAAACTAAACAAAAAAATAACCAAAAAACCAACAACCCCGCCTGAATGTCACTGGGCAGTCTGCTACAAGTTGCTTCTATTTCTCCATTTTCTACAGTACTACCTACTTGAGGGGTGGTTCACCCTTGCGACGGACCACGCCCCACTCCAATGGATGCACACAAACAAGGAGAGGAATGCACGAGTGACTAGATGGTTCTGTCAGAGTTCCAGAAAGAGATCACAAATTATTAGTTTTGTTAACTGAAACAAAAGAAACAGCTGTGACAGAACTTAAGCTTGATGGTCTGTGAAGTGGAAGAAGACAGAAACAATTATGACACTGAGTACTTAGAGCCAAATCACAAAAATCTGTCAGAGTTCCAAAAAGAGATCACAAATGATTAGTTTTGTTTACTGAATGCCTAAAAAGAACATCGATGGTACAATGTCAGCATTAAAGAATCCAAACCCATCCAACAGGGACTGAACAGGATCCTTGAAGAGCTGGTGACAGCACTGCACGAGACATTAGAGACAACGGAACAAAAAGCAAATGCAGAACCTTCAGAAAGTGAGTCACCTAGCCTCACTGTGCTAATGCTCTAGGAGGGCAGCGTTTTATAATCCTGTGTGGAATACCATAAACTAAATGCAGCATGAGTTTGTTTTGTCAAGCTTCCACTTTTTTACATAGGTTTACATTTCCAAAAATGCCAGTGATGAAGACCAAATACTTTCAGGTCTATTTTAGTAAGCTCATACTCTTAGGGTGTGTAATTATAACATTTTCCAAAAGCTGCAATATAGAGGGTCTGGGCTTTTGCTGAGGAAACCACAGCCTGCAAAGTTATCTCCAGTCCAGTCAAACTAGTTTCATTAGTACTCTGAGGGCTTTTGTACATTATTGCTGGATCAATGGGCAGCGATCAATCCAGTGGAGCGAGAGGCGGAAGCAGAGTCCACGGGGGAGCCACCGACTTACCACAGTGAAGACACCACAGTAAGTAGATCTAAGCATGTTGACTTCAGCTACGTTACTCACAATCTAAGCCCTGGTCTACACTAGGACTTTAGGTCGAATTTAGCAGCGTTAAATCGATGTAAACCTGCACCCGTCCACACAATGAAGCCCTTTATTTCGACTTAAAGGGCTCTTAAAATCGATTTCCTTACTCCACCCCTGACAAGTGGATTAGCGCTTAAATCGACGTTGCCAGCTCGAATTTGGGGTACTGTGGAAACAATTTGATGGTATTGGCCTCCGGGAGCTATCCCAGAGTGCTCCATTATGACCGCTCTGGACAGCACTCTCAACTCAGATGCACTGGCCAGGTAGACAGGAAAAGAACCGCGAACTTTTGAATCTCATTTCCTGTTTGGCCAGCGTGGCAAGCTGCAGGTGACCATGCAGAGCTCATCAGCACAGGTGACCATGATGGAGTCCCAGAATCGCAAAAGAGCTCCAGCATGGACCGAACGGGAGGTACGGGATCTGATCGCTGTTTGGGGAGAGGAATCCGTGCTATCAGAACTCCGTTCCAGTTTTCGAAATGCCAAAACCTTTGTCAAAATGTCCCAGGGCATGAAGGACAGAGGCCATAACAGGGACCCGAAGCAGTGCCACCTGAAACTGAAGGAGCTGAGGCAAGCCTACCAGAAAACCAGAGAGGCGAACAGCCGCTCTGGGTCAGAGCCCCAAACATGCCACTTCTATGATGAGCTGCATGCCATTTTAGGGGGTTCAGCCACCACTACCCCAGCCGTGTTGTTTGACTCCTTCAATGGAGATGGAGGCAATACGGAAGCAGGTTTTGGGGACGAAGAAGATGATGATGAGGAGGAGGTTGTAGATAGCTCACAGCAAGCAAGCGGAGAAACCGGTTTTCCCGACAGCCAGGAACTGTTTCTCACCCTAGACCTGGAGCCAGTACCCCCCGAACCCACCCAAGGCTGCCTCCTGGACCCAGCAGGCGGAGAAGGGACCTCTGGTGAGCGTACCTTTTAAAATACTATACATGGTTTAAAAGCAAGCATGTGAAAGGATTACTTTGCCCTGGCATTTGCGGTTCTTCTAGATGTAGTCCTAAAGCCTTTGCAAAAGGTTTCTGGGGAGGGCAGCCTTATTGCGTCTTTCATGGTAGGACACTTTACCACTCCAGGCCAGTAACACGTACTCGTACTCGGGAATCATTGTAGAACAAAGCATTGAAGTGTATGTTTGCTGGCATTCAAACAACATCCGTTCTTTATCTCTCTGTGTTATCCTCAGGAGAGTGAGAGATAATTCATGGTCACCTGGTTGAAATAGAGTGCTTTTCTTCAGGGGACACTCAGAGGAGCCCATTCCTGCTGGGCTGTTTGCCTGTGGCTAAACAGAAATGTTCCCCGCTATTAGCCACAGGGAGGGGGGAAGGTTGAGGGGGTAGTCACGCGGTGGAAGGAGGCAAAATGCGACCTTGTAACGAAAGCACATGTGCTATGTATGTAATGTTAACAGCAAGGTTTACCCTGAAAGAGTGTAGCCACTGTTTTATAAAATGTGTCTTTTTAAATACCGCTGTCCCTTTTTTTTTCTCCACCAGCTGCATGTGTTTCAATGATCACAGGATCTTCTCCTTCCCAGAGGCTAGTGAAGCTTAGAAAGAAAAAAAAACGCACTCGCGATGAAATGTTCTCCGAGCTCATGCTGTCCTCCCACACTGACAGAGCACAGACGAATGCGTGGAGGCAAATAATGTCAGAGTGCAGGAAAGCACAAAATGACCAGGAGGAGAGGTGGCGGGCTGAAGAGAGTAAGTGGCGGGCTGAAGAGAGTAAGTGGCGGGCTGAAGACAGGGCTGAAGCTCAAATGTGGCGGCAGCGTGATGAGAGGAGGCAGGATTCAATGCTGAGGCTGCTGCAGGACCAAACCAGTATGCTCCAGTGTATGGTTGAGCTGCAGCAAAGGCAGCTGGAGCACAGACTGCCACTGCAGCCCCTCTGTAACCAACCGCCCTCCTCCCCAAGTTCCATAGCCTCCACACCCAGACACCCAAGAACGCGGTGGGGGGGCCTCCGGCCAACCAGCCACTCCACCACAGAGGATTGCCCAAAAAAAAGAAGGCTGTCATTCAATAAATTTTAAAGTTGTAAACTTTTAAAGTGCTGTGCTTAAAGTGCTGTGTGGCATTTTCCTTCCCTCCTCCACCACCCCTCCTGGGCTACCTTGGTAGTCATCCCCCTATTTGTGTGATGAATGAATAAAGAATGCATGAATGTGAAGCAACAATGACTTTATTGCCTCTGCAAGCGGTGATTGAAGGGAGGAGGGGCGGGTGGTTAGCTTACAGGGAAGTAGAGTGAACCAAGGGGCGGGGGGTTTCATCAAGGAGAAACAAACAGAACTTTCACACCATAGCCTGGCCAGTCATGAAACTGGTTTTCAAAGCTTCTCTGATGCGTACCGCGCCCTCCTGTGCTCTTCTAACCGCCCTTGTGTCTGGCTGCGCGTAACCAGCAGCCAGGCGATTTGCCTCAACCTCCCACCCCGCCATAAACGTCTCCCCCTTACTCTCACTGATATTGTGGAGCACACAGCAAGCAGTAATAACAGTGGGAATATTGGTTTCGCTGAGGTCTAAGCGAGTAAAACTTAAAAGCGAGTAAAGCGAGTAAACTGCGCCAGCGCGCCTTTAAACGTCCAAATGCACATTCTACCACCATTCTGCACTTGCTCAGCCTGTAGTTGAATAGCTCCTGACTACTGTCCAGGCTGCCTGTGTACGGCTTCATGAGCCATGGCATTAAGGGGTAGGCTGGGTCCCCAAGGATACATATAGGCATTTCAACATCCCCAACAGTTATTTTCTGGTCTGGGAATAAAGTCCCTTCCTGCAGCTTTTGAAACAGACCAGAGTTCCTGAAGATGCGAGCATTATGCACCTTTCCCGGCCATCCCACGCTGATGTTGGTGAAACGTCCCTTGTGATCCACCAGAGCTTGCAGCACTATCGAAAAGTACCCCTTGCGGTTTATGTACTCGGCGGCTTGGTGCTCCGGTGCCAAGATAGGGATATGGGTTCCGTCTATGGCCCCACCACAGTTAGGGAATCCCATTGCAGCAAAGCCATCCACTATGACCTGCACATTTCCCAGGGTCACTACCCTTGATATCAGCAGATCTTTGATTGCGTGGGCTACTTGCATCACAGCAGCCCCCACAGTAGATTTGCCCACTCCAAATTGATTCCCAACTGACCGGTAGCTGTCTGGCGTTGCAAGCTTCCACAGGGCTATCGCCACTCGCTTCTCAACTGTGAGGGCTGCTCTCATCTTGGTATTCATGCGCCTCAGGGCAGGGGAAAGCAAGTCACAAAGTTCCATGAAAGTGCCCTTACGCATGCGAAAGTTTCGCAGCCACTGGGAATCGTCCCAGACCTGCAACACTATGCGGTCCCACCAGTCTGTGCTTGTTTCCCGAGCCCAGAATCGGCGTTCCACAGCATGAACCTGCCCCATTAGCACCATGATGCATGCATTGGCAGGGCCCATGCTTTCAGAGAAATCTGTGTCCATGTCCTGATCACTCACGTGACCACGCTGACGTCGCCTCCTCGCCCGGTATCGCTTTGCCAGGTTCTGGTGCTGCATATACTGCTGGATAACACTTGTGGTGTTTAATGTGCTCCTAATTGCCAAAGTGAGCTGAGCGGCCTCCATGCTTGCCTTGGTATGGCGTCCGCACAGAAAAAAGGCGCGGAACGATTGTCTGCCGTTGCTCTGACGCCGGGAGGGGCGACTGAGGACACTGAGGGTTGGCTTCAGGGAGCTAAAATCAACAAAGGGGGTGGCTTTACATCTAGGAGTATATCAGGCAGGACTTCACGGAGGGTTCCAATAAGAAATGGTGCACCTAAGTTATCGTTCTTATTGGAACAAGAAGGTTAGCCTGGCCTCTGATTGATACATGGCTAGATTTACCTCGCTGCACCTTCTCTGTGAGTGACTGCAGTGTGACCTAGAAGAATGAGTCCCCTAGACAAGGGGGGGGGGAAGCAAATGAGTACAAAACAAATCTGGTCTATTTCTTGTTTTGATCCACTCCATCTATCTTTTACATCTTTGGCTGGCAGCAGACGGTGCAGAAGGACTGCATGCCATCCACATCTCATGGCTGCTCGGCAGAAGATGGTACAGTACGACTGCTAGCAGTCCGTATCGCCTGCCCGCTCACCATAAGACGGTTCAATAGGACTGACTGCAGGACTAAAGAGAATGACCTGGTCAAGTCACTCCAAATTTAGTCCCTGCGCCCATGTCTGCCCAGGCGCTCCCACCCGACGTGGCCAGGAGCACCTCAGACATGACGATGACGGCTACCAGTCGTACTGTACCATCTGCTGCCAGAAGGCAATGGGTTGCTGCTACTGTGTAGCAATGCCGTACCGCGTCTGCCAGCACCCAGGAGACATAGGGTGACGGTTACCTGAGCGGGCTCCATGCTTGCCGTGGTATGGCGTCTGCACAGGTAACTCAGGAAAAAAGGTGCGAAACGATTGTCTGCCCTTGCTTTCACGGAGGGAGGGAGGGAATGGGGGCCTGACGATATGTACCCAGAACCACCCGCGACAATGTTTTAGCCCCATCAGGCATTGGGATCTCAACCCAGAATTCCAATGGGCAGCGGAGACTGCGGGAACTGTGGGATAGCTACCCACAGTGCAACGCTCCGGAAGTCGACTCTAGCCTCGGTACTGTGGAAGCACTCCGCCGAGTTAATGCACTTAATGCACTTAGAGCATTTTCTGTGGGGACACACACACTCGAATATATAAAACCGATTTCTAAAAAACCGACTTCTATAAATTCGACCTTATTCCGTAGTGTAGACATACCCTAAGTTGCATAACTTAGATCGATCCTCCCCCTCCTTCCCCCACCACAGTGTAGACCAGGCCTGAGTCTCCCTTATTTTATTTGCCATCTGTGAAAGAGTAAAGGCAGCCTCAGGAGAGGCCCAACTGAGATTTCCTTCCTCCATATCACAAGGTCCTGACCAAAGGTACTTGCCTGATGTCTTGTGAGTAAGTCTTTGTGTTCTCAATCATCTTTCCCTCTTTCTCTTAGGGGCCACAATACCCTAAAGAAAACCCAATGAGGAAAAATAAATTATAATGATGTGCAGCTGGGAATAGAAAGCCATGGAAAATTAAAAAGTGGCAAACTTCCTTGAAAAAAAAGGCAAGAAAGTGCACTTGGTCAGAGAAAATTTGTTCAGGAGCAGTGGACTGACTGTGCACTGAGATTCCCCTCTTCTCTCAACTTTTTCCAATGGTCTGAAACATCTTCCCTTAAAGACATATCTAGTGTTATTAGATGCTACCTTCATTTGCACTAAGGTAAGATATGAATTTAATCAACAGAAAAGATAACTATCAAACTCCAAAAAGAAAAGGAGTACTTGTGGCACCTTAGACACTAACCAATTTATTTGAGCATGAGCTTTCGTGAGCTACAGCTCACTGCATCCGATGAAGTGAGCTGTAGCTCACGAAAGCTCATGCTCAAATAAATTGGTTAGTCTCTAAGGTGCCACAAGTACTCTTTTTCTTTTTGCGAATACAGACTAACACGGCTGTTACTCTGAAACCTATCAAACTCCAGTGGTTGATCCAGAAGCTCGTTATTTTATTTAACACTTTCTATTTATGTTAACCTCTCTTTCATGCATTTGGTGAATACATCAACAAATCCAGCTATTAAAACAACTTAGTAATCTTTTCCAGCAATTCTGTTAATCATAAATCAAGCTATTACACCGCAAAAAATTCCATATGTGACTCAACCCTCTAATTCCAACCCACAAAGACATTTCTTCTGGCCCATGTAGCTTAAAAAGGAATAAAAGCTGATTATAGGTGGGCAACTACTTAAAGCATGGCAAAACTCCCAAAATTATTCAAAGGACCAAGAGTATATTTATAAGGGTGACGTGCTCGGACTTTTATGT